CCCCGCCGCGGGGGGGTGCTCTGACTGCGGCAACCGTTGACGGGCTGCCCCCGGGGAAGCGGCGAGGCGCCACCGGTAAGCGGCTGCGGTTGGCCGGCCGGCGGGCTGGCCCCTGGGCCGGCGAGGGTGCCGACGCCCGGAGCGGGGCGCTGGGGGCCTGGCCGCACTTGGCTGTCCTCACCTGGCTGGCAGCGGCTCGGAACCTGCCCCGCCGCCCTCCGACCCCCGGGCGCCACCCCCACCCAGGCTCCTGCCCCCTCCGGGCTCCCAACACGAAATCTCACCCCCCTCTTTTGGGGGGCGAGTGCTTGCCCAGTGGCGCAGTGGATGTTTCTGGGACTGAATTAAGCACTGCCTTTCCCAGCCTTCCCTCCTCCCGCCTCGGCTCCCTGCCCACCCTCTTTGACGAGATGCAAACCTGCCCGTGGAGCCCGTGGGTGCGCGCCGTTCCTTTTCCCTTGTGGCAATTTAGTGTTGGGGATGGTGTGCTTTAAAAATGTGTCTTTCACCTTTCTAGCACAGCCACAGATTTTGCAGTAGAAACTCACGGGGTGAGGGAAATTTTTTGAGGGAAATGGTATGATGATTCGTAGGAAAAAAACTTTAAGAAACTGTATACGTGGTCAACTGGGTCCTAAAATAACAATGGGCATCAGTAAATAAAAAGGAGTGAAACTAGGAAAAAGTCAGTTTATGTCGATTTAGGTTACATATGGATTTTAAGTGTATGTATTATACACATAAAAACTCTTTAATGAAAAAAAAAACTCTTTAATGTTGGAACTGAAAGCCTTCGTTGTTTAAAAAGTGACATTAACTTGTTGGAAGTCCCATCAGCGAAGAATAAGAATGCCAAGAATTCCAATAAGTCGAATATATCTGTTCCTCCTCCTAAGGAAAAAGAATGTCACTATTATTTCCATTTCTCACCGGATCTTGAGGGTCGCAGCCCATCAGGTAACCACTCCCACCACCAGGGCCCCTTTTTCACCATGTCTTGAAGACTAACAGACTGCCCAGGTTTCACTGTGCTAAATTGTAAAATCTTGTGAATTTTAAAGGTTTAAAATGTAATCATCACTATTTAGCGTGGGCACATAAATGCCAGTCTAACTTTGAAGGATTTGAATTGAAAATTATTTATCTGGTACAGAATAATGTGAACACTGATGAGAAGAAATTGACTCATCCTTTTCTTTGAAACATTTTTACCCCCCAGCTTGGGTGTACTTGTGCACTTGTGGTTCTGGACAGTGACAACCTGAAGAACTACTAGATTACATGGTTCAAAACCCAGCCCTGCCCTTGAGTACTTTTGGTATCTGGAACAAATCCTGAACCTTGCTAAGCCTAGTACAGTAACTTGTACAGTTAGGATGAAAATAATGCCAGTACTCTAGAGAATTGAAAAGATTAAATGAGATACTACCTCAGTTCCTGGAACATACCAAGCATTACTACCTACCACATTCCATGTCCAAACCGCTAGTTTTTTTCTCTTTCTGGGGCTTACTCTTACATAGGTTTCTTAAATGTCTTCTCAAGTTTCCCTGCACTGTGAGGAATGACTTCACCATGTGCCTGAGCTCTTGCAATCGGACTTGGTAGTCATAACTTCTCGACAGAACCCCCGAACATGGTGCGGATCGTGGCCGATAGTGACTTTATCCTCAACCACCCCTGATGGTATCAGAGGTGAGTATGGCCCCGATTTTCTGTGTTAACAGAACTTCCACAGTCTAGACCACTGTTAAGGATGTTTTCATTGCTTAGGACTGGTGAGTTGTGGTTTTGGTAAATGTGTTCTGATTTTCAATTCTAAGTAATCATTATTGGCAATTATTGAGATTTTGCTAGGCATTGTGGATACAAATAGGTGCAAGAGTGACATTTTCTGAACAACAAATAATTACAAAATTTTGTGATGGGCAAAATATTTAAAATTATCCCTCTTCTAAACGATCTAGGTTGCATGGTGTCCTTTTACTCAGTTTCCCACCCTGCTTCACTCTCCTCCACTAAATATTGTATCCTTGTGTTTGACTGACACATCTTTCTGTATGTAAATATCCTTACCACTTGCTCATATCAGATTGTTTTGTGTTTTTGAATTTGACTTCTTCTCTCTCGAAGGTAGGGACGTATCTATCATTCTCCCTTTCTAAATTTGTTGTTTGGCTGGGGTCCTAACAGCCCTTTATTCATATAAGTATTTCTTTCTCCACTCTCTTAGCTTCAACTTCTCTTTCAGGTATTGAATTTCAGGTGTGTTTTTTTAATTTTCCAGTCTTATAATCACCCCCAACCCAATCTTCTAAGAAACTTTTCTACAGCAAAAATAATAATTGATACTCTTCACTTTTGAATAATTGGTGTGATCTTGAAAATATATGCTTATGTTTGTTTTGTTTCTAAATCAAATCACTTTAAATATAGGCTATTTCTTAAACTTTTGAGGAACAGGTAATAATCTCAAGGCTAATGTAGTGTGCTGAGAGTGAGGTTCCTGAGCTGAAAACAAGAGAGACCGGTGTCTTCTTAGAAATCTTATCTGAAAAACAACAACAACAACAACAACAACAAAATCTTATCTGATGGGAAAGAGCCTGTTGAAATCCATAGATTAAGGACTTTCAGGGAATGCATTACTTTTAACAGTCTTTTTCTTTAGATCTTTGATGCAGGGACTTGCTTTTATATTATGAATAACAGCCTTCCGTACAGTGCTTATTGAAGGATCCTTGGTGGTGCAACTGGTTTGTGCTCTACTACTTACATATTGAAAGAATACCTCAGGAGAAAAGCCTGGCAACCTGCTCACATAAAGACACAGCCAAGAAAACCCCAAGGATCAGTGGCACTCTGTAACACATGGAGATGCTGTGAATTGCAATAAACTTGTTAACAACAGGTGTTTGGGTTCCCACCGCCTATAACACATATTATTAAAAGATACCACCTATAATAAATGCTCATCTAAGGTAGTCTGTTGGTTGACTTCTGCCAGATGAGCTCTACATTTAACCCCCCAAAGCTGTACTTAAAATAGTAACAAAAACACTTACGGAAATGCCATCTCAAAACCCTCTCTTTCCACTGATTCTCCACCTTACACTTAACGCTTACAGTGTAGCACTCATTGATTCTAGGAAGATCTTTCATGCTTGTAGTTGCCCCAGAATATGTGGTGTGGCTAGAAACAATTCTTAATTAATAAGGATACTTGGAATCTTATTTGAAGGGCCTTTCACACCGCCTGAATAAAAGCAGCGATCCTTTGTCATTCATTGGAAACCTGTGATACAAAGGCCAAGCTTTGGCCTACCACTTGTTTTCATAAATAGTTTCGTTGAAACACAGCCATGCCCGTCAATTAACTTGTCCAAGTTTTCCAGAGAAACAGAACCAATAGAATACCGACTGACATGATTGTGGGAACTAGCAAGTCTACGATCTGTGGAACAGCTAGCATGCTAGAAATTCAGGAATTGAATCTATTGTCTAAAGTAGAATTTCTTGTCTAAGAAACCGCAGTTTTCTATTCTAAGGCCTCTAACTTGATTGAATAAGGCCCATTCACTTTTATATGAAGTCATCTTGAAGTCCCTTCACAACAAATACCTAGGCTAGGGATTAATTAGATAACTGGGTACAATAGCCTGGCCAAAAGGGCCTGTGGCGGTGCTGTTGGATAGGGGTTATTAGTCTGTTAGCCCCAAAGTTGGTAGGTCAAACCCACCAGCTGCTCCTAGGGAGAAGCTTGAGGCTCTCTGCTCCTGTAAAGCTTCATAGCCTCAGAAACTGTATTTGGGTCTCCATGAGTTAGAATCGACTTGATGGCAGTGGGTATTTGGGGTATAGCTTAGGCTTAGGCGTAGTAACACAAAAAATAACCATCGTGCCCTTGACTGCTTTCAAGCTACAACAGCAGAGATGAGTAGTTAGTTGTAGCAAAGATAAGATAGCCCATGAAACCTAAAACATTTTTGACTCTTTGCAGATTAGTTTGCTGACCCCAGTATTAAACCATTAATCCAGAATGAATTAGTAGTACAGTCAACCCAACCCCCACGCCCCCTGCAACCTCTCTCCCCACCTCCAAAACAAATAGAACCGGACTTCAGAATGGTAATTATTGAGAACTGTGCTTGGCCTCCATAGCCACTTCAAAGTGTATTATCTGAGACTAGAAGCAAAAGGGCATCCAGATACGGATATAAATTCTCTGAGTATTCATTGCACCTTCCCTTTTCATCTTATTGATGTATTTTTAACATACATACTGATATGTACCACTTTATTAACATGTATGAACATGATTATATCATACATATTGAACATGTTAGTATAGCCCTCGTCTTTTATTTTTCCCCTTTTATTTCATTTTTAACATGATTCTTCTGTCTTCACCTAGATCTCCACAGACATTTTAAATCCTTGTTGACAAAGTAATGTGAATCCTTCTACCTTTTTCCTTTCTTTCCCTATTTTTTTTTTACCCTGAATGGTTGGTCACACAAACTTAAAAGAATCATATAACTATAAATAAACATATAGATACTCATGTACATGTCATACTTTTCCCCATTTATGTTATAAAATAGAATCAAATTTAAACATACATCTTTCTCCTAACGTTTTTTACTCAACACTTATTGTCTGCATCTGGATTAATTCCTTGCCCATTTTTCTGTTTCTTGCCAGTTTGTAATAGACACTAGCAATCTGCCCTCTGCCTGACAGTGCTATTTCAACTCTGTTGTTGTGTATTGACTTTGCATCTAGGTCCTTTTATCATGTAGTTTGTATGGTAAAATAGGTTCATGACTTAATTTGTAACTTCTGGGTTCCCTAGTAGGGTTAAAAAGTCTTACCTATCCCTGAGTTGTATCATGTTATGTCCTAGATTCTTAATAGTAAATCATCTCGTTTATTTTTGTATATGGAATAAAATAATAGAATACAATTCTAGTTCTTCACATTGGATAGCCAACATGCCAGCAGCATTTCTTAAGTAATATATTTTTCCTCTCTGATTAGAAAATCAGTGTTGTTATACATTTAAATTAAGTGTATACTGATTTCACAATACACAATTTCACAATAGTGAAAATTGTTTGCGTCCGTTTTGAAACTTTTTCATGTATTAATACTGTTCTGCATATCTGTGACTTACTATTAAATTTTATGGAATGACGATTCTCTGTTTCTTCCAGAATCACCCACCACAATGAACTGACTTTGCAGTATTCAGTCCATGCTACACTGCCAACCTGCTTAAGAATTATCTCAATTTACTATTTACACTTTTCCTTCATTCACAGTAGTTGGCTAAATAAACCTTAGCATATTTTACTATTTATTTATGTATTATTTTTTAAACACCTCACTAGTATGCTTGCATATCATAATAAGTATAATAAAAATTATACACCTACACAGAGACATACTACTTGGTTGGCTTTCTTTTTCAAATAACCTTGTTCTTTATCCTAGAGTTCAGCCTAAGTTTCCCACCATGAAGCTGTAGCCACTCTGACAACAAATCTGCCATTTGTACTGTGGACAATGTAGAAGGAATCCTTTCATTTTCTCTATTAGGTCATCAGAAGTGGTGTGGGAGTGTTGAAATACTTTAGAATATTTAAGGTTTGTAATTCTTAGCTTTCGCACAGTATGCAAAAGATCGCTAGGAGTTGTTAATATTCTATGCCCTGAATAAACTCTTCAGAACTGAGAGTGCTGTACTTTAAAAACAAATTTATTTTAGCTCCTGTTTTAGTGAGTAGTAACTCAGAACTTTATCTTTTTGGCATTGGAGTAATTTCCTCTAACTTTCCAATAAGAGTTTTCTCAGGAAAATGATTATTTTATTAGATCAAATCCATTTATTACAGTGTTATTTAAGTGTGTGAATTCTATTTCAAATAGTTACTTGAATTGCAAGTTTTGAACATGTTTTGCATTAAGGTCCTAGGATATGAATAAATATGTAAAAAACCAAATACTTGGTTTCCTTCTATTATCTCTTAACAAATTTATAGATGGCCTGATATGACTGTTTTGTGTTAGGCTTTACTTCCTCAGATTTATAACCAAAAGTTTTAAATGGATTTTGTTCTTACAATGATAGGAATATAAATTGCTAGAGTAGTTAAAAATAGCCCTTGATTTAGGACATACTCGGGTTGCAGCAAACCATACTTAGAACAAACCACAGTTGGGCTTAAAGAGAGTGTGTGTGTGTGTGTGTGTGTGTGTGTAAATCTTCTCATTAGTAAAATGTGCTACATACATTGTCGCAGTGCCTGGTTTGGTCATGTTGTCATGTGTAGATGCTCAAACACAGGTGGTTCATTGTTATGATTTGCTATTGAAAACACTACTATATGGTAGGCAGAGGCCTCGTACATGTACAATGAAGTTGATGTCTGTACTGGGACTTGTAACAGATCGAAAGTTAGGAAATACTCAAGTCTAATGATGTACGACATTTGAACTGCGCACACACCCCAATTTCACTGTTGACATTAATGCCGACTTCTTTGTATGCTAGGCCTCTTAGTATGATTCTACTCAGTGTTTTATAGCATTTATAGTTCTAATTTCCTCATTGGAGAAGATTTTTATGACTTGTTTATTTGTTATATATGTATTAAAATATACCTGTAAGTTTATATGTAAGGTTTCCAAAGTCAAAGATCAGATTTATAAATCTATTATTGGTAATAAAAGCCAATAATTGGGGGATGGGGAGCTAATAATAAGGATTTCAAGAAAGAAAATAATGTTCTAAAATTGATTGTGGTGATGATTGCACGCTTTCTCATATGTTGAAATAATTGAATTGTATAATATGTTAATTATATATCAATAAAAGTGTTATAATTTCTTTAAAAAGCTGATTATAGTGAATACTAAAAAAAATCAGGTAATTGAACTAAACTGTAGTGAACCTTTTAGCTCAACAGAACCCAATCATAAGTCAAAGACTACATTAAAAATTATTTTTATGAAGTTTATCTGAATAAATAAACCATTTTCAAAACTATTATTAACTGGACAGATGAAAATGGTCCTTTGAAAAGTTTGGTTAAAGGCTTTTAAGCTAAATTTTAATAATTCTTAATAATACCCAGAAATAAAAACCGTCAGTATTTTTGTCTTATGTTTGAAAGAAAGCCACATAGAAATCATCAGCATGTGTTCAATTTATTACAAGATAATGTGTAGAGAGAACTGAAAATACTGTAATACTTTGCTTCTAAATCACCCTAAAGAGGAGAAAAGCAAGTCTCAGACATTGAATAGAAGCTGTTATGCTCTATTTAGACTTGTTTTCTTACTAGCAGAATCAAAAGTAGATAGAATTTTAGCTGTCATTCATTGTAGAATAGGCTATTGAGTAATATTGGCACAGGCTATCTGCAATATTAATTATCTGTAGAAAAACAATGTGTACTTAAAAATAAATTAGGAAAAATGATGAATACAAGATAGATGAAGAAAGAATATGCTTTAGAATAAACTATGAAATCAGATTTTAAAATATATTAAATATTTAAAACTTGGCATTTCATCAATTCATATAGAGAAATCAATAAATTACCTTTTAGTTAAAAATGTATTAGGTCTCAGTTCCTATGAATAGGCAAATTTAGTCATTGTTATCCAATTGATTCTGACTCATGGTGAACCAATATTGCCCCATAGTTCCCAGTCGTAATTCTTTACAGAGGCAGACTGCCTCATTGTTCTCCCAGGGAGTGACGGGTTTAAACCACTGGCCTTTGCATTAACAGCTGAGAACTTAACTGCTGAGCTGCCATGGCTCCATTAGTCAGTCCCCTGAGTAGGACCATATTTCCTACTAAAAATCAAAGAATCTACTAGAGAAGTCTTTATCACTTATAGAAATTAATGAGAAGAAAAATTAAAATACACAGGGTCGGTTTGTGTGTGTGCCTATATCTTTTAAACACTCCCATTGAAAATGTATATTTAAATGTTTTACAATAAATGTGTTTTTTAGCTTGGTGACTGGTGATCTCTGACATTAATCACCTTTTTGATTAAATCTGTAGGAAACTATAAAATACTTTTTTATTGTGATTATTTAGAAATATTTTTTATTTCATTCACAATTTTTCTTGGAGACCAAGCAAGGATTACTCTATTTAACACTTAAAAGTGAAATTGTATAATTTTCTAAGATCAGAAACCAATTTTCTTTGCTCTAACACTGGTCCTAATTGTAAAGAACTTTAACTATCAAGTCTGCATAACAATAGGATCTTTAGTTTAAGGCCATACTGCCTTGAAACACCAGATCTTATCTGATCCCAGAAGCTAGGCAGGGTCAGACCTAGTTAGTATTTGGAGGACAGAACAGTAGGACATTTAATATACATTTTTCTTGAACATCTTTTTCTAAGGAAAATTATATTATGCCACTTCATGAAATTTAAAATATATCATCCTGTCTATTATAATTGTTAAGTGGAATTTACAATTAGAATTTATTCTTTTATCATTTTATAAGTTAAACATCTTAAAGTCTGAAATTACTACTTGTAAGTGGTATCTTTGAATTGCAGTTATTAGGCAATAATAAAAATTACCATGTACAACTAAATGGCAGGGTTTCATAACAAGTACCACTGCTGGTCTGTCAGTTTGTTGTACTGTGGTGACTTGTTTGTTACTGTAATGCTGGAAGATATGTCCCTGGCACTTCAAATACGAGCAGGGTCATGCAGAGTGAAGAGGTTTGAGCAAAGTTTCTAGACTAAGAAACTGTGAAGGAATCGGCTGTCCACTTCAAAGGCAGTAGGTACTGGAAATCTTATGGATAGCCTGAAAGATACCAAAGACCCGATGAGTAGAAGCAGAACGTGGTCATAGAAAGTGCTACACCATGAGCCCCTCAAGTCAGAAGAGACTCCAAACATGACTGAGGAAGAGCTCCCTTCTCAAAGTAGAGTCGGCCATAATGGCATGAATGGAATAAGGCCTGTAGGGGTACAATCATCGGGCCCTTAACTTGTTGGTGGAGCATAACTCAAAATGTGAAGGACAGCTGCAAAACTCTAATAATTGGAAAAAAACAAAACTCTAATAATTGGAACTTAGAATGAATAAAAAGTTGCAAGCCATCAACAATGGAATGCATAAACAGTGACGGAGTAATGATTCCCTGAGGGTATGGCAAGAGGGGGTGGGGGAAGAAGGGGATGAAAGAGCTGATATCAATGAAGACTGTATTACCCCACTCAAGGGTAAATGAATAACAGAATTGGAGGTGAATGGATACATTATATGGTGTAAGATACAACAACAATAATAGTTATAATGTATAATATAATAATAAGGGTTCCTGGGGGGTTGGGGTGGATGAGGAAAGGGATAAAGGGGAGCTGATATCAGAGTCCAAGAAGAAAAAATGTTTTGAAAATGATTACAATTATAAAAGTATGCTTCATCTAACAATTATACATTGTTATAATATCTGTAAGAGCTCCCAATAAAATGATTAATAATTTAAAATGTTTCAAAGTATATATATGTAAATTTTGATCTATTAACAAAAAAGGACTGCATGAACATTGATATCCTAGGAATTAGCTAAAATGGACTGGTAATGGCTATTTTGAATCAGAAAGTCAATTTTCACTGTGCTGGGAACGATGTAATTGAGACAAATGATAGGGTTGCATTGATCATCGAAAACAGCAGTTCTCGACCTGTGGATCACGACCCCTTTGGGGTCGAACAACCCTTTCACGGGGGTCTCCTGATTGATAACAGTAGCAAATTTACAGCTATGAAGTAGCAACAAAAATAATTTTATGGTTGGAGGATCACCACAATGTGAGGAACTGTATTAAAGGGTCGCGGAAGGTTGAGGACCACTATACTGAAGGAAGAAGTTTGAGCCGCTCCAAAAGCCAAATACAAGGCTCTAGGAATTGATATAAACCAATTAAAATGTTTCAACAAGTTGATGAAGTACTGGAAGCACTCATCTATGCCAGGAAATTTAGAAGACGGCTAGTTGCCCAACTGACTAGAAAGGATCCATATTTGTACCCATTCCAAAGAAAGCTGTGGTAGTTCCATAATCTGGTGGCAACTTGAGACTATTAAGAGTGAAGGGGTGAAGTTAGCCTGTTAATCAGGTAGCAGCTTAATGACCTCATTTGGAGGTGCTTGCTGTAAGGACACAGACACTTCCTTCGAGACATTCCTGTTGACAAGCCACGTGAAGCTACGCTGATAGAGCCAGAGCCCTGGAGCTGGAGGAGCCACATGGAGACCCACACCAGGGCTTAGATGCTCCTGCCACCACTGGATACACAAAGC